TTTGTGTAATAACCCATACAATTTGAAGGTGATGTTCAAACATAAATCAAAGGCTATATATATATATATATATATATATATATATATATATGGATTCATTTCAGTTTCTGAAATTTTCAGTAGGGAAGGGTCACAGGGTTGAGTGATGTTCAAAAGGTCTGCTAGATCAGTTATTGTCAGACACAACAGAAGTCCACAACAAATAATGCTTTTTTGTAGTTCTACCTTGAACATATCTGCAAAAAGTACAAAAAGAGCAATGTTCAAAGTAGAGCAGCAAAAAAGGCGAAATCAATGTATTTTGAGAAGATTTTTAGTGGTTTTTTGTTTTGTTCTGCCTCACAATAGCTGCTGTAGTATTATCGACATGGATGAAGTCATCACGCATACAGCTTTTTTAATATAAAAAAGCAAAGGCACACACACTTAGCACATGGACCCAGTTAACAATAGTCACTCTCTGGGTAGAATCGGCATGGAAAACCAGTTCAAGACAGAAATACTTCCAAGCACATGTGGAACACATCCTGCAGAATAGCATCTAGGAACATGTTTAAGATTGTATTGTTTTCCCCTCCTCTCTTTTTTAAAAATCACGTTTTTAAAATTAAACCTGCCTCGGGCAAACATGGGTGTTACAGAGCTGAAATAAAATACATCTGTGAAATATTGCAACTGCTTGCTATATGCTGTTTTACTTTTATTAGTGTTGTTATTCTATCATCATCATCATCATCATCCCTCCACCTCTTTATGGAGCCAGGCTCATTGTTACGGCTGACTACATCTCTTAGAACAAAGAAACGAAGAACTGTGTTAATCTAAGCACCGAGGGTTAAGCCTCGTCTATAGAAACGGCTCTTTTTAGCTACCAAACCTAAGACAAATACATTAATGGGGGACGATCCAATAATTTGGCATCGAAGCAGCAGCTTCTATTTCTGCAAACTATATGTCGTAATAGTAATTTTATACACACCTGCTTTCAAGCAACTTTTAGCAGAAATATATCTTGGGTCACTTATTTGAGGCGGCTGAGGTCCCCACAAGTGTTTCAAAACATTGTTCCCCCCTCCCGCCGCCCCCAGTTCCAATAAATTTAACCACAGTTGCACTACAATGGGGAGGAAATGCAGTTTTTGCAGATTGCACTATGGATTGGAATCAGCTCCTCTCCAGTAGATTAAGGAATGCCCTACAACTGATTCCCACCAAGGATAGTTTAGAACCAACAACAGTGTTTTTTCACTGGATTCATTCTTTGTATTTATTGTATAAATGGAACATCCACTCCCAAGTGCACCGGGTTTTAAATTTTGTTTTTGTAATATGATATTTTCTTGTGTGCTATTGCTCTGCCCTTATTTTATAAACATTTATGAAATAAAGGGTCAATACTGTTTAGAAATGACACATCCACAAAAATACAGAACAAAGAAGAGTATTTTCTGAACAAAGCTTTCAAGGATGTTAAGATGAGAACCGATTTTAGCTCCGAGCAATCCAGAGTAGATTTGGAAAATACTTTTAAAAAACAAACAGCAGGGCCGTTTTTAAACACAGTCTGCTAAATGTTCTGCTTTTTCTCTCTTAGCCTTTCTCTCAGTTGAAGAATCCGCAACCCACTTAAAATAAAAGCCCTTTAATTTCCAGTTTTGCCGCATCGGCTTTTGTGGGCCTGCCTGAATTTAAGAATCTCTTTACAGCTGCAATCTCGTGTGCACCTGAGCTCAGAAAGATTTACTTCCAAGTAGACATGCATGGGGATTATAGCTGCATGCGTATTGCAAAACTCTCTTTCTTCTTCACCGGTTGTAACTGGGGAATAGATTCAAGAATGTATATACTTCGACTGGATCGCAAAAACTGCTTGTCCCCCAGCAATTCCCACCCTCTCTCATTTCTGTCTCTCTCATTGCAAGTTATTTATACATCGGTGTGCATCGCCCTCACATTTAAACTTTGTAAGATGGAAGCCTATCTATGTTTACTCAGAAAATCAGGATTTACTCCTAGGTAAGTCTGTATGGGATTGTTCTGTTAGTCGGATTCACAGACTTAAGCCGAAAGAATCCTATTGGATTTAAGCCGAAAGAATCCTACTGAAGTCCGTGCGGCTAAACTGGTTTACATTCAAGCACTTTGGCACAATGGAATCGTAAACACGCCTCCTGCAAAATATAGGTCATTCGTGCTAATTAGTGCACCTAATTGTCATCAGAAATCCTTTCCCATTCTAAGCTAGGCTTCTTCTTCTTCTTTTTACTTTCCCTATTTATTCCTTACGTCAAGCTCCCCAGGCAGTCCTTAAACCAGCTCCCTGTTTGGCTAAATAAAAGTCCTAGTTTTGTTCTACGCTTAAATGGCAACATTGAGCATCTTTTTAAAATTATGGGCTGTATCCATAACCCTAGAGAGGGATAAAGGATAATGGTGAAGGGAAGCTGATGTGAATTTCCTAGGAATGGCATGTACCTTAAAATATGCATGAATCACAACTGAATATTTGACAGGTTCAATCCAGCTGTCTACTGCCCTGGTAAAGAGGCTTTAAGAACCATATCTTTCAAGATACCATCGTTCTGAATTCTGTTGGAAGTGGGTCTTGCTGCAGTTGAATACAGGCATTTACTACTGTTGTGTCTTTGCACTGAAACACAGCAGTGTGTCTATGTCCTTTTAGAAAATTTAGAAAATGGGTGGACGAACGGACAGCTGCTTAAAAGGAGAATGGCGTAGCCATACCACATACTTCTCAACAGGGGAAGAAGTATTTTGCTCAAACACTTTGCTCGCGAGTTGCTCCTGGTTTTAAATTAAAAGTGGCTGCTCGTGGTTGTATGCATTTAGAGACTGATTCGAAACTCATTACTCAAAGTAAGCCATTTAAAAAAAAAGAATCACTTAAGTGTGGTCCCGTGTCCATATACACTTGGGAATATCTTCTTTCGAGGTAAAGGGGACTTACTTCTTATAAACATGATTTTAAGGTAGCTACACGTGCATTTAGGACAGGCGAGCAATCAGCTTGATCCACGGAAATGCTTGTTTTAAATGAGCCATTAACGAGGTTATGCACCAGATAGCATTAACAGTATTAGAAATATCCATCTGTATAGATGGGTATCAGCAAGCATGGCATAATGGTATTAAATGATAACCCCCGGTAGTGAAATAGATATTGTATTTTAAGATATGCTTATTTTAAACCCATCAGCTGGTCTCTACCTATGTATGCATTCATACATACAGGCAATGCATTTTTTCCTTTAGTCAAGCAGAGATGATGTGCTGGATAGTCAAAGGAAATTAAAAGAAAAATGAAAGCCAAAACTTTAATTGTAGATGAATTGTTAGAGGAGATAACAATAGTAAAAAATAGATTTTAAAATAGAAAGAAAACCTATATCCTATGTCATGTACCTGCATTCTTTCCTTCTTTAATTTTAATTGTTTGAAGAATCAGTTCTCCAAACCTGCCTTGTTTCCTTCCCTTCCAAAAATATGTTTCATAAATTAATTTCCAAAAAGATGTCCCATACATTAATTAAAATGCAGGATGCAACAGTCTCAACAGCAATACACCTCTACAGATACAGGGATGCTGCAGAAAAGTAGGCAGGTGTAACTGCCCGGCTGATCCTCAACATACTTACTTGGAAGTAAAATGACATTTCTGCATCTCCTATCTCCCTGGCCTCAAGTTTTTTTACAACCCCCCACCCAACTATGTACCAGCAACTCAGGATAATGCTTTGTGCATCTGATGTTGCTCAGCTCAAGGAAGCTTATGCCACAATTAATTAGTTTTTTCTTGGAGGTCCCACAACGCTGCAGCGTTGCTTATTCTGCAAAAGGCGATCAAGGCTGCTCCTCTGGAAATCGGTTACAGGAAATCTGGTTTCTAAATGGCAGTCCGCCCCGCTGATATCAATGTGGCTTGATCCTAAATTGGTAATTTAATACTTGTTTTGCAACTCATTTCCCAGCTCCGGGCTTAGGATCCGGGTGGACAAAAGAAGCTCACAGTCTTACTTGTCTCCTCCCACAAACCCGCTCTGTGGGAAATTCGAGCAGGGGAAAGTAAAACCCTAAACGCTGTACTGTATCTAGGGAGCAAGCCTCACTGTACTCAGTATGACTTACTTCTGAGTAAAGGTGCATAAAACTGTACTGCAAATTTCCTCCAAAGTCCTTGCTCTTTGGACTGAATTGGGAGGGCGAGATTAGCGAGGACTTGCTCCAAAGTGAATGTTAAGGCGGCCGTGGGATAGGGAGATTTTAAGCACATTTTGCATATGCGGTCTTCAGGCACCTTAAGGCGAAGTTTAAAAACCCCAATCTGTTTCAACGGAGCAGATTCACACGAACGGCTTCCCGGATTCCCCCCTACGAATTCAGATCCAATTCAACTTACTTAAAAGGAGGGGGGGTGTTATTGTGCAGAGCTTTCAGCTTAATGGGTCCTATTCTGGAAACCTGAACATGAATTTTCGCCTGAGTATCTGTCTCCTGCCTACGTTAGCTGCTATCTCGATTCGGTCGCAAAAGCTAATACCCAAAGACAGCAAACGAAGCTAACCAAGTGAATCTGGCGCGGGCCGGGGAAGAGAGCAGCAGGATTCGCACCCTCGCCTCCCCGCTATTTGGGAGCGGAGACGGTCGCTGCAAAGGGGATTCCAAGCGGGCGCTAGTCCGCTTTGAGGCCCCTGGGCATGGAACAACTAACCCAATAAAATGGGGTGAGGACGTGGGGGCACGAGAAGGAGAAATCGCCAGGCGAGGGGGGCGGAATAAGAGGACCATCTCCTTTTCTTGCAGTGCCAGCAGCGCAACTGGAACTCAATATTCGTAGCTGTGTTTGGAGAACTCGTGAGTGCGCGCAAGAGACTAGGAAGGGTATGAGTGTATCTATAGCGGCGCGGTCGCCACCCCGCCAGCCACCCTCCCCTGAGATCTTCCTCCTCCTCCTCGGTCCATCCCCGCCGTGCGCTACCGACCTGTTCTTGGCGGCGGCGGCCCTGTCCCTTTGCCTGCGGTTTTTGAACCAGTTGCCCACCTGCGTGGGGGTGAGTCCGGTGGCTTGGGCCAGCTCTCGCTTTTTGCTGGGGTTTGGGTAAGGGTCCTGCAGGTACCACTCTCGCAGCAGGTGCCGCGTGCGCTCCTTGAAGCAGTGCGTCTTCTGCTCGCCGTCCCAGATGGTGCGCGGCAGCGGGAACTTCTTGCGCACGCGGTACTTGTCCACCGGCCCCAGCGGGCGGCCGCGCAGCTTCTCGGCCTCCTGGTAGTGCGCCTCGAGCCACAGCGCCTGCAGCTTGGCGTGCGACTCCTTGGGGAACTTGTGGTTCTCCAGGATGTGGTACAGCTCGCGGTAGTTGCCGGCGTGGAAGGCCACGATGGCGCGCGCGCGCAGCACCGACTCGTTGCGGTTGAGAGCCTCGCAAGCCGCCGGCGCCACCGGCAACGACCACAGGAAGCGCCCCAGGCGCTCCACGTCGCCGCTCTCCTCCAGGGTCTCGCACACCCCGGCCACTTGCTGAGGACTGAAGTTGAGGATGGGCAGCTGGAACATGGAGGCGGCCGGCGAGGGGGCCAGGGCAGGCGAGAGGGATGGCTGGGGCTGCTGGCGACCACGCTTCTCCGGGTCACCTCTTGCGCGCAATCCGCGGGGAACGCCGAATCAAGGCGCCTCTTCTCCGCGCCTCGGGCTGGGCTGCCTCTACCGCGGGTCCAGGCGCCTCGTCCCTTAGTTATGGGGCTGCAGGGTTGCGGCGACTCTTCCACGCGTCGGAAGCGACTCCCAGAGCCGAGCCTCTCCAAACAGCGGCGCTGGTTTTGGCGGAGGCCACGCTTCTTCGCTTTTCTCCTGGGTTCAGAAAGCCAGCGCTCTCTCTCTCTCTCTCTCTTCAGCCCTCCAGATAAGGGGTAAAAAGCATCTCTCTCTCTCTCTTACCCTTCCTTCCCCTCCTCCTCCTCCTCCTTTTGCGCGCTTCAGGCGCTCGCTTGGCTAACCTTTCGCAGCAGCAGCAGCAGCGGCCGCCGCGCGCGCGCGCTGCGCTAGGGCGCTGGGAGAAAGACTGCGCCGCGCTCCGGCGGCTGCCTCAAGTTGGCAAGAGGGAGGGACCTGTGCGTGAATGGAGGAGGGAGGGCGAGGGAGGGGAAACAGGGGAAAGCCCTCCGCTTCCTCCACCACCGCCCCCCCCCACACCGCACCCTCGGTCTCCCTTCCAGCTTCTGATTTGCTGCTGTTGGCCTCGCCAGATTGGCTGCCCCCTCGGTTTCCATGGCAGGCCGCCTGCCCATCACTGCCAAGCCTCTGCCAATCAAAGAGCGAAATCCTGCCAGCGCAGCAGCTCCGAGCGCGCTTGGAGAAGGAGGGTGGGCGTCCTCCGCCCTTTCCCCGCTTCTCCCTTTCTTCCTTTCAGCACTTCCCCGCGGTCGACAGCGCCCAGTCACTGCACTGGCCCTTCGCTAGCAGGGAGAACTGGAGGGTGGTGATGGGGACAGTGTTTCTTTGCAAGAGATTTGCGCTGTATTCAGATAGAGGGCGCAGGCGCGACCGGGCGCTGCCTGAGATAGCGAAGCGGTGTGGTTTTCTCGAGGAAAAGGGAATGGTAACTCTGCCGCTCAACTTTCCCAAATATAATCCGAAATAAAACCAACTCATTCAGCATCTGATCTGGAAAGGGAAAGCACCGCGATCCTACTCCGAAGTATCTCATTACAGGAAAATGTGTCTCTTTTAAAAATTAAAAATAAATAAAAAATTGTCCAGTAGCGTCAACAGGTTTACCATACCCATTGAGTCAATCACCCATCTCCTACTACCCTCCTAAGAAAAACCCCACCCTCCCACTATATATATGGGTCTGGTGACTTCTGTTTCAGTGTATCTGAAGAAGTGTGCATGCACACGAAAGCTTATACCTAGAACAAACTTGGTTGGTCTCTAATGTGCTACTGGACAATTTATATATATATATTTCGACTGCGTTAGACCAACACGGCTACCTACCTGAATCTTTTTTAAAAGTTAGCTTCATGCAGCCTTATGAGAGGAGGCAGAGGCTTCATTTTGGACACCGAAGCATTGCACCCGGGTCGGACTGTTCGCCCATCTAGTCCAGTATTGCATACTCTGACCGGCAGCAGCTCTCTCCGGAGATTTAAGCGGAAGGTATTTCAAATCAACAGCCGCCTGGTACTTTGCCAGAGATGGAAGTTGGCACTTTGTGCGCGGAGAGGCCTCGCCGCCAAGCTGTGATTCCCAGCACATGCACACGCAACCCGCCCAAATCTAGGTAGCCCATATAGCCCGGACACGCTCTCACGTGCAGCCAGTCACACGTTCCACCTTTTCAGCCTCTTCGCCTGGCTTTGGGATGACCCGCAAAGGGACACGAAGGGTCTTTTTCCAGTGACATCTTAAGATTCCTTTCCTGCCTAACTGGAGCGCGCTTGGGGAAAACAACGGCCGTTGGGTTCCTTGGACCCTACATGGGACTGGCTTTTGTAAGGGGGTTGGGGCAGAGTCTTGAACCCCTGGAGGAAAGTTCGGGCCAAGAGATGCTGGGGCTGCAGTGAGGGAAAGAAGAATCTCAGCGCGAGACTCTGGAATAATCTTAACACATCCTTCAGCCACCTGGTGCACTGCTGACGTTTGGGAGTTGTAGTACAAAATATCTGGAGGGCACCAGGTGGCCTGAGGCTGTCTTACTTAACGCCGCCCATGAAGTTGGGTTCTGGCCAAGACTTACTGAAGGCACCCGCGCACAGCGATCCTATGCATCTTTCCTTAGAGATAAGCTCTCCCCGGTTCCAAGTGCGCAGAACTCAGCCCAGGCGCAGAGTTCAGCCCTTCTCGATCGCGTTCTGGATGTTTTCTTTTGCGGGGAGACCTTTAACGCCACCCCCATGAAAACTACCACGGGAATCGAACAGTCCTCTGCCTCTGCCCGCCATCCAGGGCCTGCTGAGGATCGACCCTTTCCCGATCCGTTCTTCCCTCACTCCCTCATTCATTTTCTCCTTTATTTAGCACCCCTCCTTTCCATTTTAAACCTCATTGTTTTCGCTTGAGTGGCCTCGAATAAACACCCAGGAAAGCCGCGGAAGAAGTGAGAAGTCATTTGTAGGTCAGGGTGAGCAACTTAAAGGCATCTTTTAAATTATGGATCAACTTTTAGTCATAATTTTGGCCCCTCCTCCCCGCAATATTTCTTCCCCTTTCTCCCTGCGAAGTCTAAGAAAGTATGAACCACTATTTTACCTTCCCATGAAATAATAATAGCAACAGTTTCGTCTTCGTCGGTGTCAGCAAACGGAATTAATTCGTTTCCCGGAGGGTTGGAGTCTGCAGTTTTATGGCGTCTCGGGCAACGAGATAGAATAAACTGATATTTATTTACAGTCTCAAGGTGGCCTACATGATTCCTGCATTGAAGGGGGTTGGACTAGATGACCCTTGGATCCCTTCCAGCTCTAGGATTCTATGATTCTCCCCCGGCCTCATTTAATCTCCACAACAATCTTGAGAGATAGGTCAGGCTGGGAGGCAGCGAGTGGTCCAAAGTCACCCAGCGACTTTGGGGAGGATTTTAACCCAGGTCTTTCCCAGATCCCAGCCTGTGACATTCTAACCACACAAACTGTCTCTCGATTTATTTTGCTTTTCTCCTCCTTCCGTCTTTATAAGCAAGCATCCATTCTTCGGGGGGGGGGCGGGAAGGAGAGGAGAGGGAATAGAGCTAATCTCAGAAATTTGGAATTAAATTCTATATTAGTGCCAGGCCTTTCACATTTAAAGTTTAAAACCAATCAATTCTGTTTTCAAGCCTCGCCTTGGTTATTTTTCACACACACCTCGGTCCCCGCGCAGATGTAAAAAGAAATGCCCTCCGATTCGACGTGGTTTGCTTGGGAGGAGGAGAGAGAGAGAGAGAGAGAGAGAGAGAGAGACTTCTACTGCCTTTTCTTTAGTATCAAGCACACTGTGACTTTTTCCCGGAAAGATTTGGTAAATCAGACGGCGGATACATAGCGCAGATGGTTTGGAGGTGTCGGGTCACATTATGGCATGCCTGGCTTCGCGTCTAAGTTCATTCTGACGGAAAACCCTGATATTATTTTCACAGATCTACACAGTTCACTTGAAAAAAAACCCTCCGAGCCATTTTCATCATTTATGCGAGGCTTGCTGCTAGCGGGATGGAAAGCCTTTCGATATTGCTCATTTTCATAAAGACGACAGGAGGAGAACTGCAGAGAAACAAGACCGGGCAGGGCGTGTTTGTGCGCGTGTAATCAAACGCTGAGTGCGGGGAGCGCCGGGGGGAAACGGACCCCATTCCGTAAGCATTTCTTTTTATCAAGAGTCTAGTCCTCTTAAAGGCAGAAGAGTTGGACGTGATGCAACTCGGTTCCTCTGTCCAGCTACGCCGAGGGTTCGGACACTTTTCTGCAGAGCCCACAAGCGGTGTACGTATAGAATCGGAGAGTTGGAAGGGACCCCCAGAGCCATCTAGTCGACCCCCCTGCGACTCAGGAATCCCAGCTAAAGAGATGGCCACCCAACTCCTGCTTTAAAAAAATCCCGTGAAGGAGAGTACACCACTTTCCGTTCCACGACTGAGCAGTTCTTACAGTAGGAAAGTTCTTCCCGAGCAATAACCAGAGCAATAGCCTTACAGAGCAAAACTGAAATAATAAATAGCAAAATTAAAAGAACATGAAACTGATTCGAGGCCCATTGCGACCTCCGGTAGAACCCGATCCACAGGTTCAGAAGCCAATTCCGTCAAACTATTTGCTATTTTTCGCTTTGTTGTTGTTTAGTCGTTCAGTCGTGTCCGACTCTTCGTGACCCCATGGACCAGAGCACGCCAGGCACTCCTGTCTTCCACTGCCTCCCGCAGTTTGATCAAACTCATGCTGGTAGCTTCGAGAACACTGTCCAACTATCTCGTCCTCTGTCGTTCCCCTTCTCCTTGTGCCCTCCATCTTTCCCAGCATCAGGGTCTTTTCCAGGGAGTCTTCTCTTCTCATGAGGTGGCCAAAGTATTGGAGCCTCAGCTTCAGGATCTGTCCTTCCACTGGAACTCAGGGCTGATTTCCTTCAGAATGGATAGGTTTGATCTTCTTGCAGTCCATGGGACTCTCAAGAGTCTCCTCCAGCACCATAATTCAAAAGCATCAATTCTTCGGCGATCAGCCTTCTTTATGGTCCAGCTCTCACTTCCATACATCACTACTGGGAAAATCATAGCTTTAACTATACGGACCTTTGTTGGCAAGGTGATGTCTCTGCTTTTTAAGATGCTGTCTAAGTTTGTCATTGCTTTTCTCCCAGTCATGGACAAACAAAGTGAAGGGCTCTTATCAAATCTGCTTCGCGCGCAGAAGGTTCCAGGTTCCATTCCAGCCATTTCCCGGCAGGGCCGGGAGAAAACCCAACCTGAAACGCCGCTTGCCAGTGTAGTGGCAATGCCCATTGAGATGTCCTGTTGGCCTGAGTCGCTCTTGAAAAGCTTCCGGTGTTCCTAAACCAGAACCAAAATGAACTGGAACCGGAGCGCTGAAAATAAGTCGTGAAAAACAAAACGAAAAATGCTGATTTTAAGAACTGGGCTGGTGGAGACGCCAGCCATTGAACGACTTTGTGTTGGTGTTTATTGCCATGAGAGAGGAATTCCGGAGTCGTGGGGTACGGGGTCGCTTCTTCTTCACCCCGCGATGTCTGCTTGGGGTGAGGTCCTCAATCTCCGTCTGAAATGCGCCCTAATTCTAACAGGACTGGATACGAAATCGGCAACGATTTCGCACTGCGCGCACGTTCATGCTACAATTCTTCTCACGCTTACCACTCGGTAGGACATAGCTCCTTGTAAGTAGGTATAGGGTCGCGCTGCACGTCCTATAGAAAAGTAAATGTGTTTAGGACTGGATCCTTTCTCATCTGAGTAAAGCACTCCAGCCTGCAATAACCTCCCTTACCTGGGGGTAAATTGCGCTCAATAGGGATTACTTCTGAGTAGACACATATATGACTACATTGTAAAGGCGCCATCGATTTAAAAGTGAGAATCAAGCGGTTTGTTAAATGACTCCAGATGAAATAAATGGGTTTTAACATGTTTGCCTTGAGCAGG